GTGCACGCAGTTGATTGGAAATTGTTTTTTTGTGAACAATTTAAAGTTGTCGCAAGCTCTTGTTGGGTAATTTGAGGATTTTGCACCAAAAGAGCTTGAAGAGCTTCTTGATCAAAATTGGACACACGGCCTCGACCACTCTTGTCATCTAACGAAAAATTTCCCTCGCGAAATTTCTCAAACCAACGCTGGCATTTTCTGGCGCTAACTGCATCTTCACCAAGAGCACTACAGATGTTTTTTGCAGCCTCACTTGCTTTTCTTCCTAATTGGAACTCGTAAAGCATGCAGTGCCAAATATGCTCTTCATCCGCCATCTTCTTAGCCCTAGTTTTGCAACAAAAACCAAACCAAACACAAACTTTTTCAAGCAAAACTTGTTAATTGCACTTCACACGTTCTGTAGATACCACGTGTTTGAAGGTTATGTCAATACAAGTCAAGGCCAAGCAAGATTTTAAACGAATGTTTAAAAACGACATTAATTATTACTAGACCCAATAGAAGCATGGTTTGAAATGCTGACATAGCATTCCATCACATGAATATACAATAATATATCTATCATTATCTTATTAGTATTAATGTCCCTTACTATTGATAATTTGGGGATCTTTCCAATTATTTATAATTAAACACATTCTGTTCCTTTTAAAAGCTTAAACTGTACAATCAAATTTCATTTTCATGGCCCTAACCGGTTTGGCTCAGTGGATAGACCATCGGCCTGCAAACTGAAGGGTTCCAGGTTCTATTTTGGTCAAGGGCATGTACCTTGGTTGAGGACACATCCCCAGTAGGAGGTGTGCAGGAGGTCGCTGATCAATGTTTCTCTCTCATTGATGTTTCTAACTATCCCTCTCTCTTTCACTCTGTAAAAAATCAATAAAAAAATTATTTTCATGAAGAACATATTCAGCATAGAAAATAATGCCCCAGACTTATAAGAGGTATAGTATTTAAAAATTTATTATTAAAGATCCTCAACATTTTGTTTTCCAAGCAATAAGTTATTGGGACAACAGTCTCAGAAAAATTATCTATAACCTTGCAGCTTCTTATATGCACAATGAGTGACAAAGTGAGAATCTTTATACTAAATTCACAAATCCCTAAAGCTACCCTGTTTCCCCGAAAATAAGACAGTGTCTTATATTAGTTTTTGCTCCCAAAGATGCACTAGGTCTTATTTTCAGGGGATGTCTTATTTTTCTATGAAGAAGAATATGGTACACATTTATTGTTAAATGAAAATAAAGGAAATTTATTACCTGTATACGGTACGGTAGTACAGTAGTTGTCAACACAAACCAGACAAACTGTGAATCCTACAGTATCAAGAATTTACTCATTTATTCAATGACAATCATGTCATCATCTTCTAAAACATCATCATAATCCAATTCCTGAATTTCCTGATGAATTTCTTGTGACTCCATTTCTTTGAGAATCAGTGGACCAAATCTCTCATGTTTAGCCTAGGGGGCCTTATTTTCGGGGGATGCCTTATATTTCACTCAGAAGGAAACCTGTAAGTAGGTCTTATTTTCGGAAGATGTCTTATTTTCGGGGAAACATGGTACTCTTTTGTCCTGATCCTATATCAATCCATCAGTTTTTTCAAACTAGATGATATACTCTGTTCACATCAATACAGTTTTTTTTTTTTTTTAAATTTCTTTATTGATTAAGGTATCACATTCAATTCAGTTTTTAAAAAACAGAAGTTAGTGCCCAGTCAGTGTGGCCCAATGTTTGAATATCGACCAATGAACCAGGAGGTCACAGTTTGATTTCCGATTAGGGCACATGCCTAGGTTGCAGGCTCAGTGCAGAAGGCAGCTGATCAATGATTCTCTCTCATTGCTGATGTTTCTATTTCTCTCTCCCCTTCTGAAATCAGTAAAAATATATTAAAAACATAAAACAAAGTTATTTTTTAATTTGCTAAATCATGTTCTAAGATCTTTGTAACATGAGAAACTAATGTTCAAACCATCATTTTCTGCTGATCTTCATAAAATGTTAGCAAATAAGAGATTCTGTAAGATATCCTATAGCTAAGACTCTCACTTCTCAAAGAAGTAGACAAAAAAAATAAGTTTTTAGGGCATTAAAACTGCTATACGGACAACAAGAAAAACAATACTAGTAAACATTTCTTCACTAATCACAACTTTAAGCTTGACTAAGGCAATATAATAAGGCTCAAAGCTTGCAAATACATATTTAACCAAGTGGAATTATTTTACCTTTTTTGACAATTCCCCCCCTTTGTAATACATTTAAATGCAAATGTACAACGCCCTGCCTATTATAGGATCTACTAAAAAAATAACTTTTGGTATGAAGTCAATCTGTTTTAAACCTTTTCTAAAAATATTATAGAAATATTAAGCAATTTCATGCTAGAATGACTGGACTATAGAATCACAGTACAATGAACTCATTAATGGCCTTATCAACTTAATGAATGGCACTATAGTTTTTAGTATTATTGTACTAGCAATCTATAAATCTGTAAAGTAGCATTAGATTAAAAGACATTTACCATCTCCTACTTCTCCATTCCCTGCCACATAAATTCCTATGCTTAGAAAGTGCCTGCTTCCGCCTATAATAAAAATAAAAAAGATCTTAGAAGTCAAGAATATTGAATTTCTTTTATGTTTGTTTGTTTCTTCTTTTTTTTTTTTTAACCAAGTTTATTCTCCTTTCTCTTAGATCTTAGGTACAAATAATTATTTACTTTCTTGGATTAACATTCTATAGTTTTAGAAACAGATTTTTACTTTTTCCAATGGTAGCATAACTACCTATTTCCATTATATTGGGCAAGAACACAGGTACCTTATGCATTAAAATTTATCAAGCAACAAACCATAAAATATATGCTGAATATATCTATGGTTGGAAATCTTCATGACTTTAGTTAGCATTTTGACTAAAATGAGGTGATGGCAAAAGTTCCAACAAACAATACATTTTTTAGATAAAAAAGAAGCTTCCCTAAAACAAGAAGTCAATTCTGTAGACTTTTAAATCATAAGAAACAAACAAAAAAAGACACAGGGAAATAAGTATTAAAACAAAACAGCAAACTTCCCTTTTAGCATCATGTAAGTAATCTTTTAAAAAAATTCATAATGGTTTAAGAATATTAACTAAGGTAGTAAAAAATAAATTACTAAGTAAAATTTATGCCACCAAAAGTTTCACTAGTAGTAAACAGAACATAAACGCTTTCACTACATGACATCTGAGTGGGAACCCAGAATGATATCTATGCAAGTGAGAGATGGGGAGAGGAACAACTACTGGAAAGAATGCAGGGGGAAATTTCTTCATTTAAGTAAGATCTCACTTTTATGGTTAAGGAGTTTTCAAAAAAGACTAAACAACTATACATTCAACTTTATGCTGTACAGGTAGTACAGGCCGTAGGCTTCAGAAACATAGTCAAGTTAAACAATGTATGTTTAATTAAAATTCTTACAAAAATGGAGTACTTCATGGGACAATAGGATTCTCACTGCCTTCCTTCCATTATATGCTTAATGTAGATGACTTTCAAGTTAATCATAGTGCTAATAAGTCATTTATGTATTGAAAACTATTGATAAGACGTAAGCAGAAAATTTAAAAACACAAACTAAAAATACAAGCCCATTTAAAAGAAACACTTCCTTATTTACAAATACAGTAATATAAACATGTCATAAAAATGCCTAGCATATCACAAGTAACATACTCTTAATAAACTCAAGGTATTGCCTACCACCGGTCTGGTTTGTACAAACTAAAAATGTAAGGCAGAAATAATAGCCATTAGCAAATCTTCACATCTAACTCTAACGCTGGTTGACACCTCTACTATGACTTTCAAGTAACAGTAAGCACCCCGTCTCCCTTTTGCAAATGTGTCTTCTTTTAGAATGGAAAGATTAATTGGAAATTACAAAGAAGTTTTACACTCATTCAAAAATTATTACGGGACTTAAAATGTAAGAGGAGCTAGGCCTCCCTAAACTTTACCTTAATGCAGCATCACTATAATATATACATAAACCATCACAACCCCCATATCCCCCCAACAAACAAACAGAAAAGCCAGTTGACATTGATTCTTGGGCCACTTTATCTTATGTTGGGTAACAACCTGAAATGTCAGTGAATAAAACACACACACACACACACACACACACACACACACGTGTAAATAAACACTGAATAATTAAAAGTCACCATTCGATTGCTTTCTGTCTTCACTACCGATATGTTTAACTTTGAATAACGGGAAATTTCTGTCAATCCCCCGGTTACCTCTCCCCTCATCAAAACAAACAAAAATAGAACCTCCTCCCCAGCTTTTCTCCTTCAACACTAGTTCAACTACTTTTTTTTTTTTTTTTTTTTTTTCCAGCTAAATCTCCAGGGCACTTTACCCTTACACCGAAAACGAACCCTGGACAGGACTAATTCAGCTATGTTTCCAGGAGACTTAGAAAGGCCGTTTCATGGCCAGGCCTGGGAGTAGTAAGGCCCCTCAGCTTTCAGACCCTTCTGCCGGCATTTGCACCCGCGCAGTTCCAGGGGGAAGAGGGGGCCCACCCCGCAATGCTGGGCCCGAAGGGCAGAGCCGGGGCCTAGACCCCCTCACGGCCCCCGCGGCGGCTCGCGCGGTGGGGGAGGAGGTGGCGGCGCCGAGAACCGGCCGCCGGAGGCCGGAGGCGCCCGAGTCAACGAAGGAGGCGCCCGGGCTCGGAGCTCAATGCCCCAGACCCCCCAAAGCCGCCTCCTCTCCCCTCCCCTCCCCCATGCGGGAGAAGCAGGGCCCCCGCCAGTGCGGGAATGGGGAGGAGGTAAACCCGTCCTGTCACTGCACCTGGAGAAGTTGGAAGGAGCACATGTCTGACGGGGAGAGGCCGCGGCCGCCCCTGCCCTGGCCCCTCCGGCCAGAAACCCCCTCCCGCCCCAGGGGTCCGTCCCCTGCGCCTCACCAGGTCGTAGTCCTCCTCATCATCGCACATGAAATCATCTTCCATGTCAGACATCTTGGCCGGGAAAGGGGGAGGGGGAGGAGAAATTGGAGACAACCTCCTCCCACAATCCTCCGCGGCTCCGAGGCGTCACTCCCCGCGTCTCCTCCTCGCCTTCCCGTCACTCTCAGAGGAGTTGAACGTTTCCTTCCGGAACTAACGCGCTCGGCGCGGAGAGGATTCGCTACGGCGCCGAAAGGGAGCGCACCGCCCCCTCTTCCGGCGACACGGTTGGCGCCTTAGCAACCAAAACCTAGCAACTGGGGCATAGCCTGGTGCCGCGGCGCTGAGCCGAAGGGGCTGGGAAACACGTGGAGCGGTTTCCCGCCTCCTAGGCTGGGGGACGGTCGCCTCCGTTGCCCGAGACTCTGGAGCCACCTCATTCCGGTGAAAATAAGAGGCAGCCTAGGACAGCCTTTCGAGGACAAAAGGGTGGCATGCCCGTCGTGTATGACAGGTAGTATGATGTCTGCCATCATTATTTACATTCCTGTAGCCCGCACGTGGTGGCGGGTGTTCCTGTGAATTTTGGAAACTTTCTCAGCGATATAGTTTACACGAAATGTTCTTTATATTTGTAGTCGGCAAAAAACGATTCTGTGGATATCCCAAATTAGGTAAGCATCGATCAGCTGAGGCGCCCCAGATCTTATTCAGTTGTTTAACGAATTATAAACTGACCTTTACTGCCCTTAGGACCACATAAAGGTAGCAGTGAGCGACTGTTTATTATTTTTTTTAATATAGTGTACAAAATCATGAGCATAATTCAAATTAAGAAAATGAAATAAAAGGGGAAAATCTGCTTCTCAAACAGCACCTTCCATATTAACTTCCAGTTCTGCCCACTTACTCCAAAAATTTTATATAATTATAGCACAGATATAATTTCGGATTCTTTTTGTTCCATACCTCGTTATGTAACAGCGTAAGACGTGTGTACAATGTATCATTGAGAATTGTTTTAATGGTTGTTTAATCTCTTTTGAATGAACCAATGCAACATAGTCATATAACAACAACACTGTCTAACATAAATAAGTTTTCCCTACTAGCCCTTTCCTCCCAATGTTTTATTACAAGACATTTCAAACATACAGTAAAATTGAAAGAATAGTCCAGTGAACATGTGTATTCCCACTATCAGCCTTATTTGTGTGTATATGTATTTCCTGGATCAATTAAAAATAAGATGCAAATATCATGACATATTACTCTTTAGTGCAGCTATGTGTGTTTCCTAAAAATAAGGATTTGCTTATGTAATTACAGCATCATTATTACACTAAGAAAATTAATCATTCCTTGATATCATATGGTAGCCAGTGCATGTTCAAAATTTCCTTATTAAATATATAATTTTAGAATTGGAAGAGCCTTTAATGATATCACTTTAAAGCTCAGGGCTTCCCAAGCATAGCAGTCATAAAATTGTAGCTTCCCAAACTCCATCCATGAGATTCTGATTCAGTATATCTGGGGTAGAAATCTGCAATCTGTTCACCTTAAAGCAAAACAAAATCCTCCTATAACTGGGGTGACTATCCATCCCACTTTGCCTGGGTACTGTTTTCCCACAAAAAATAATTATTAGCATTTGTCACTTCAGAAGTTTAGACAATAAATCACATGGTTACTCTACCTGAAATTAATAATTCTTCCCCCAAAGAGAGAATAGAGTCCAAAGGTGGTAAGAAATTCATTTGCTCAGAGTAATCATAGCTATATAGTTTTGCTTTTTAGTCAATAATAATTTTGAAGTTATCATCTATGTACATAATGATTATATAATGTAAATGTATAAAAATTCATTTAGATTGAATTTATAAAATTTTCTGCTTTTTAATGTAATTACTTCTACAATAGAGAGAAAGAATTGTTCAAATAAATCATACTATCCTAAGCCACCTCCAAATTTAGTAAACCAATCTGGAAATTTGCTAAGAGAGGTTAAATAAGTCTACACAGTACTTACAGGCACACTCCTTGTGTACACAAATGCAATGAATGTTTGTTAAATAAACAAACATGTTAATTAAGTAATCTTTCTGTGCTGGGAATACCTTTTGTCCTTAAAAGTTCATTTAAATGTCACCTCATTTGCATAGCTTATTCTGAATACTTTGTGCAGTTATGACATTCTTTTTCTTGATATCGATTTTACTCCATGGTATCTAATACATTTTTATTTTGATGTGGAGCTTGTGTTTTGTTTTTTTTAAAGACATATTTAAAAGATTTGTTGAGGTATAATTTAGCAGCTTTATTGAGGTACATTAAACTGCACATACTTAAAGTGTACAATTGGATGAATTTTGACATGTGTGTACACCTGTGAAACCATTACCACAACCAAGATAATAAACATATTTATCACTGCAGTTTCCTCATTGCCCCTTGGTAACCCATCCTCTCCCTTCAATTTTCTCAGGAAAACACTGATCTATTTTTTCACTATCTATAAGTTTACATTTTCTGGAATTTTATATAAATAAAGCATACTGTATGTACTCTCTTTTGCCTGGCTTCTTTCAATAAGTATAATTATTTTGAGATTCATCCATGTTGTTGCATGTATCAATTGGTTGTTTCTTTTTATTGCTGAGTGTTCCATTGTATGGATATTCCACAGTTTATTCATTTACCTGTTGATTGTTTTTTTTTTTTAGTTTTTTTTTTTAGTTTTGACTAATACAAATACGGTGCTGAGAACATTTATCTTGTGTAATGTGGTGGATGGACTATAAGGTGGTTTCCTCATTACTTATGCTTTGGTTAATCCTTTACCTCTTCAGTGTCGGTGAGATCTGTGACTGCTGCTTCTTTTTTGTGACTTTCAGCTTTACTGAAGTACTAGAGGCCCCATGCACGAAATTTGCAGCCCTGGCTTCGTCTGGAAGGGTGTCTGCTCTAATTAGCTATTATGCTTTTATTATTATAGATAATAGATAAGTAAATGTGATTTGCTTGTAACCAAAAGATACAGCAAAGGTTATGTACATAATTACATTATACAAGATTGCAAACCCATCTTGCTAGGGGAGACTCTGTTTCCTTTGCTGGCCCAGAGGACAACTGGGACCTGCCCTTCCACTCCAGACACTCCTGCTTCAATGGCCCGCCGGGCCTAAGGATCTCACTCATGCACAAATTTCATTCACCTCCCCTCTGGTTGTTATATAACAGTAGATATGGACATGGGAAAATACCTAGTAGTAGAATGTTGTATCATATAGTAGGTGTATGTTTAACTTTTTAAGAAACTGCCACATTGTTTTCCTAACTGGTTTTTCAACTTTGTATATCCATCAAGAGTGTTTAAGAGTTCCAATTGCACCATATCCTTGACAACAGGTAGTGTGGTCAGTTTTAAGGATAGTCTTCTAGTAGGAGTATAATGGTATATCATTGTGGGTTTAATTTTAATTTTCTTAATGACTAATGTTGAACATCTTTTCATGTGCCTATTTGTCATCCATGCATCTTCTTTGGTGAAGTATCTCTTCAGTTCTTTCGCCCATTTGTTGTTGTTAATCCTCACCTGAGGATATTTTTCCCACTGATTTTTTGAGAGAGAGTGGAAGGGAGGGAGGAGGAGAAAGTGAAAAACATTGATGTAAGAAAGACACATCGATCAATTGCCTCTTCAACTGAGCCCCAACCTGGGCCAGGGTTCAACCTGCCCCCTTAACTGATTGGAAATAGAACTGGTGCAGGAGCATAAACTTTAACCACTGAGAAACATCACCTCTTTTGCCCATTTTAAAATTGGGTTATTTGTCTTATTACTATTGACAATTCTTTATGCTTTTTGTGTTGTTTTTAAGGAATATTTGCCCCACCAATAATCCTAAGAAAGAATTAATAAAAGAATATCATAAAGCATAGAAAACCCCAGAGTCTGTAAAAACAGTTCTTGCCTTCAGGGAGTTTATCGTCTAATTATATAGAGTCTAATACAGTTGCTACATCTTGGTATTGGAATTGAGATATAAGTATAAAATATATACTGGACCTTGGAGAGTTCCTATGAAAAAGTAAAATATAAAACATTTTTTATACTGATTATATTTTGAAATAATATTTTGGATATATTGGATAAAATGTATTATTACAGTTAATTCCATGTATCTCTTTCTACTCATTTAAAAATGACTTATAGAAAATTCAGATTTGACTTAGGGTGGTGAACACATAATACAATATACATATGTCATATTATAGGATTGTACACCTGAAACACACATGTTTTTATTAGCCAATGTCACCTCACTGAATTAAAGAAAAAAGATTTTAAAAAGAGAGTTTAAAATATATGGCTTATATTATAAAATATGATTCAGTGTGTTTGTGCCCAAGATTGTCCGTTTCTAATAAGCTCCCAGGTGATGCTGGTCTGACTACACTTTGAGTAGCAAGACTTTAGAGACAAGAAAACACACAAGTGATAACAATTCTGGTGTGACCATTTCTATGGCTGGAATGAAAATCCAGCCTACTTCTGAACATGTGTGACCTTTGATGAGACTCCAGTGAAGTATGCTTTAAAAAAAAAAGTATGGAAATAATTGGTAACTTTTGTCCTCCAAATTTTTATGTTATTATTTTAATAAAACATTGCTTTTAAAATAACTTGTTCTCAAACTACTAAAAGAAGCCCAACTGGAAACCAAAAAACAAAACTCACATTACTTTCTTATACTATTTTCCTTATGCCACGTCTCTTACTAATGAAAGCACTTTATATTTATTATGTTTCTTGATATAGGGCATCTAAGACTTCCCTAGGGAACTGAATGAAGGGGTTGAACTGGAGACTAAGGACTCTTGCAGTTTTAGACACATTTTTCTTCTTTTTGCTATGTATTCTAGGAAGGCCTACCGATGCATCTAGTCTGGGATAAATGCAAATGTGTTTAAATCAAGCGTTGCATCAATTTTATATTGCCTGATTTGGAAACAACCCACATAAGAGGCAATAACTAAACGTTTTGGAATAGTTGCTGGTCATTAAAGAACAAAAGCCCTAACTTTAGAAAAAGGGTGGGGGCCGGGGCAAGGAGAAAGCAACCCGAGTCTCCAGCCTATAACACTGTACTCAGACCTAAGCCTAGGACGCAGAAGGAAAATTTACGAAGTCAGCTTCGCCTGTGCTTGGGACAAGGGCTGCAAGGAGTCCGGGGTAGCTCAGAGCTCCTGCAGCCGGGGGGGGGGGGGGGGGGGGGGGGGGGGGGGGGCTGAACCTGACAGCTGCCGGGCGGGCGGAGCCGCACAGCCTGGAGGGAGGAGCCGGAGGAGGGGCGGGCGGGAGCAGCCACCTCGGCGAATCTGCAGGATTTCCGCAGGCTGGTGCGGCCTGTGGCGCCCGGAAGAAGGGGCTCCCGCAGCAGATGTCTTGTGATCACGTTGGGAGCCTTTCTTTACCACTTGGAACCGCCTAAGGAAGAAGGGTCTAGCGAACTATGGCCACGGAGGGCCCTGTCACGTGTCGAGTCCAGGTGGCAGAACATCCCAGGTGGGGGAGAGGAGCTGCCGCGGTTTGGGGGTTTGGGGTCGCCTGGGTTGGTGCAGACGCTGTCCAGGGATTTGACGCTTCATCGGACACGGGGACACCGATTTTTCCCCTGGGAGGGAGCAGAATTCTTGAGATTTTCATATCTCAAGATATGCAAGCCGCTGCTGGGCTTGCAAGGAAGACCACGTGGCATTTCCACCTTGACTCCCATCAGAGATGTGTTTCTCTTCATCTTTGCAAATTCTTTTCCCTTTATTGCCCAAGATGGTATGCTCTTATGCAGGGCTTTAGCAGAAATACCCAAATGAACTCTAAATCCCTTCTCTCTCTGTCTTGCCTGCTGGCTGATAGTGCTTTTTAAGGTCTCCTTTCTAAAATATTCACTGAAAACACACACACACACACACACACACACACACACACACACACACTGTCCCCAACAAACAAACACAAACAAACAAAACCCTTGGTGTATGCATTCTTTTACACAAATCATGGAATCTATGAATTGCCACTTTGGGAGTGAATATGCCACCAGTATTTATAATAACTAATAGCTTAGTGATACTTAGTAGATAATCTTTTCATTTGAAGGGTGTATTGCAGATACTTTGTAGAGATAAGCCATTTTGACTCAGATTTTCTAAGGTTGCTTTGCCTCTCCCTTTGCTGTTTCTAATTTTTACTCCCTCCCTCCCCCCCATAACTTTTTTCTTTAATATTAAGTCTGCAAGCTCTCCCCACTTCCTGATATATGATCATCATGTGACGGTTGATAATATAACTTACTAAAACTTGCAAGTACTTTTTCACCCTTAAGCCAGCAAACAGTGGGCCTTTAGTTACCAGAAAGAAACACAATTTTTGGTTATGGAGACTAGCGCTGCTTTAGACTACTTGTGAATGTCTCCCCCCCCCCCCCCCCCCCCCAAATCCTCACCCAAAGATATTTTTTCCCCCACATTGATTTTGAGAGATTGGAAGGGAGGGGGAGAGACAGAGAGAGAAATATTGATGTTAGAGAGAGAGACTTTGATTGATTGCCTTCTGCATGCTCCCTGAGTGAGGTATGAGCCATTGACCGGAATCGGTCCCAGGACCCTTCAATCTATGGGCCAATGCCCTAACCACTGAGCAACCGATTTAGGGCTTGTGAATGTCTTTGGATGTCTATATTCTCTGGAGGCCCTTGCACAGTAGTGTTGCCCTTACACTACTGGTCATTAAAAAACAAAAGCCCTAACTTTAGAAAAAGGGTGGGGGCCGGGGCAAGGAGAGCGCAACCCGAGTCTCCAGCCTATAACACTGTACTCAGACCTAAGCCTAGGACGCAGAAGGAAAATTTATTTGAATTCATTCATTTGAATTCATTCATTAGGACACTTTGTTAAACACATGCTTCCAATAAAATTTATGAAGAATTTGTTACATAAAAATAATCTGACACCCTGTACTAGTACATAAAGCATATATCTATGTATAAATTTCTGCCTTTTGGTTTATATGATATTAATAAAATTCTCAATATTCCCCTTTGGGGGAGGGGAAATGGTGGTGACAATTACTAAAAGTGAAGAATTATTTATAAAATTTTCTTAGAGATCTTTACCTTTTCTGACTTTCAGTGTTCATTCATGCAACAAATATTGTTCTGTCCTAGCCACAAAAGAGATCATAACAGCAGTAAAATGAATTTGTGCTCTACATTTTTCTTGTTTTCACTTGTGTATGCAATATGATTGTTAGCTTCAAGCAGTGTGTCAGCCACTTATTCATTTTAGTAGGGGTGACTTAAGTTAAGTTTAGATAGCATATCTATAAATCCACCTAGCTGGTCATATGTTGCAGTATGCTGAAAGGGAAAAAAAATGCATCAGAGTGTCAAGATCAGATTGTCTTCTTGTGGAACTCCTGTTCTTTCCTCAGAATGCCTCTTCAACATCAAGGACACATGATCCTCTAAATCAGTAGTTTCCAAACTTTCTAATGTCTCGACCCTTTAATACAGTTCCTCATGTTGTGGTGACCTCCAACCATAAAATTATTTTTGTTGCTACTTCATAACTGTAATTTTGCTACTGTTATGAATCGCAATGTAACTGTGTTTTCCGATGGTCTTAGGCGACTCACAAGTTGAGAACTGCTGCTGTAGAGCCTAAGACCATCGGAAAACACAGATATTTACATGAGGAACTGTATTAAAGGGTCGAGGCGTTAGAAAGGTTGAGAACCACTGCTCTAAATAAAGGCATTAGTCAACCACATTTAATATTTGGATGAACTTCTTTTCTATTGTTTTTATATAAAAAATAAAATAGAAATAGAAGTTCAGATTTTTTTTTCTGCATTCCAATCTTACATGCTCTCTGTATTGTAAAACTACTTTAAATTCCACTGTTCTAGCTTATTATTATTATTATTTTTTAATGGTGTCTTCTCTCTTTTCCTTTTCTTTGGAATTAAGTTTTAAACTGTTGGATTATTATTTTTAACAGCTATATTTATACATAATTCTCATACCAAATATTTTACCTGTTTAAAGTTTACAGTTAAATGGTTTTTAGTATATTCATAGGATTGTGCAATTGTTACATCCTCAGAAGAATTCTGCATCCCCCAGTCTTAAGCAATCACTAATGTACTTTCTGTTTCTATAGAGTTGCTTATTCTGGAAGTTTCAAATAAATGGAATCAAATAATATGTAGTTTTTGTGACGAGTTTCTTTCACTTAATATATTTTCCAGGTTCACCAATATTGTAACAAGTTACTAGTATGTTATTCCTTTTATGGTTGAATAATATTTATTGTATGGATAGATCACATTTTTTTTATTCATTCATTCATCAGTTAATGGGTTGTTTCCACCTTTTGTCTCTATGAATAATGGTGCTGTGTGAATGCATTCTCAATAGGAAAGATTTGAATTATGTAAAAGTGTATTCAGAAATCCCACAGTCCCTTTACTCACTATAGTCTCTGATTCCTAATCTGTGCTGTCAATTCTTCGATTCAAAGTTATCTATTTGATTTATATCCTTATAATACTATTTTATCCTAATAATATATTATAACCTTGTAATATTGTTACCATTTTATGCAAATGGTATTATTATATTCATATGAGTAGAATCATATTTGTTTTTCTGTAATTTTTTTCACTTAGTAATTTTTCTTAGAGATTCTGCTTTATCACTCCATTTAGATTTATTTCACTGTTTTAAGGACCAAGAGTGTTTAATAATGTGAATACCATTATTTATTTAACTGCTAAACTATTTAAGAGTGTATATTTTAGTTTCCGATTTTTCATTTTTACAAATAATGCTACAGTTAATATTTTTGTACATATATCTTTGAGTATTTTTATGAATGTCTCTTAAAACTCATTCATGAAATAAAAAAAGAAGAAGAATGGAATCTCCTTAAAAAACAAAACAAAAACTCATTCATGGAAATGGAATCAGGGCCAAAGGTAATGAACATTTAAAATTTTGATTGTTGACTAGCCGGCATGGGTCAGTGTTTGAGCAATGACCTATGAACCAGGAGGTCATGGATCGATTCCCAGTCAGGGCACATGAATAGGTTGTGGGCTCAATCCTCAGTAGGGGCGTGCAGGAGACAGCTGATCAATAATTTTCTTTCATCATTGATGTTTCTATCTCCCTCTCCCCTCCTCTCTGAAATCAAATAAAAATTTTTTTTAAAATAAAATTTTGATTATGCCAAATGGTTCTGCAAAAAATGTTATCAGACTAGAGAACTGGTGCATTAAATTCGTACACTGGTGGGGGTCCCCCAGCCTGACCTACACCATCTTGCAGTCAGGGAGCTTTCAATAGGACTTCCTTAGCGCTGCTATGGAGGCGGAAGAGGCTCCTGCCACTCCAGCTGTGCTTACCAGCCTTGAAGAGTCTGGCTCAGGGCTTCTGGCTGAGCAGCACTCCTGTGTTGAGTGTCTGCCCTCTTGTGGTCAGTGCATATCATAGGGACCCCATAGTTCCACTCTTAGGTGGATTTGCATGTTACCCTTTTATTATATTGGATTATTTTGTTGTTAGTTTTCAGAAGCTTTTATATATGTATTTTTTATATGGATGTATGGATTTTTTAAATATGTTATGCAATATTGTTTCCAGTCTAGCACTTAAACTTTTTGAAGTCTTTTACATTTTATGTAGCGTAGTACAGTATTGAATGAGAGCATAGTGTAGTACAGTATGGTCTTGATTCTGTTTTTAATGGGAATATTTCTACCATTTGTCATCAAATATGATGTTTGCTGTTTCTGGTAAATAGCCTTTATTAAAGTAAGGACATTTCCATCTTTTCCAGCATGTCAAGAGCTTTACTTTATTATTATTATTTTTTGGTATGACTTTACTTATTTGTTAAATTTATTGGGGTGACATTGGTCAACATGAACATATAGGTTTCAGGTGTGGGTTTCTAAGTAACGAGATTTATGTATTGCACTATGTGCCCACCAATCAAAAGTCAAATCTCCTGTCAACATATATTAGGAATCCCTTCACCCCCTGCCACAATCCCCTTCCCTCTGGCAACTATCACATTGCTGTTTGTGTTAATGAGTTTCAGTTTTATATCTCACATATGCATGGAATCATATGATTCTTAACTTTTTTTGGCTGACTTATTTTCCTTACCATAATTTCAAGGTCAATCCATGTTGTTGCAAATGGTGCTATTTCTTTCCTTCCTATGGCTGAGTAGCATTCCACAGTTTTTATGTACCACATCTTTATCCAGTCCTTTAGTGCAGGACACTTTGGTTGTTTCCACATCTTCCACCTATGCAATGAGCATAGGGGGTGCATATATCTTTGCAAACACATGATTTCAAGGTTTTTGAGTACATACCCAGAAGAGGGATTTCTGGGTCATATGGTAGCACGATTCTTAGTTTTTTGAGGAATCACCAGTCTGCTTCCTATAGTTGTACTAGTCCATATTCCCACCAGCAGAGAATCAGGGTTC